GTTGATGATATTTATAGCTAAATATAGTCCCCAAAATGAAAGAAATCAGACTTTTGGATTCTTGTATGTTCTGAAGCAAACATGTACAGGCAGAAAGCAAGGCAGGACATGTAGAGAACAACAGGCCCAAAATAGAACAGCCTGCCTATGTAATTAAACACAGTATTATGGGAAATCTTTAAACATGCACATTTACAGTTGACACAGAAATGATGAAAATTCACAAACTATATTTTCCATTGGTGTTTTATTTTCAACAAAAATTTTGAAATATAAATATATAGACAGACATGTATTATGGAAAGTTCACAATTTATATTTTCCATAGGTGTTTTTTTTAAACAAAAATATGGAAATTATATTGTTTTATATTTATAACTTTGAGACATTTTTGCAATTTCTCTTAGCCACTTTGTCCCAAGTTTATTTTTAATTGCCTTCTAGTTTTCTTTTCAGCAGGTCACTTAAATAGTTCAGTAGCATGACATGAATTTAGAACATTTCAATATATTCCATGTAGTCTCTCAATTAACTTTTTCCCATCCATCCATCCATCCATCCATCCATCCATCCATCCATCCATCCATCCATCCATCCATCCATCCGACCATCCAATCATCCATCCATCCATCCATCCATCCATCCATCCATCCGACCGACCGACCGACCGACCATCCATCCATCCATCCATCCATCCATCCATCCATCCATCCATCCATCCGACCATCCACCCATCCGACCATCCATCCATCCATCCGACCATCCGACCACCCACCCACCCATCCATCCATCCATCCATCCATCCACCCATCCATCCGACCATCCAATCATCCATCCATCCGACCATCCGACCGACCATCCATCCATCCATCCATCCATCCATCCATCCGACCATCCACCCATCCGACCATCCATCCGACCATCCATCCGACCATCCATCCGACCATCCATCCATCCATCCATCCATCCATCCATCCATCCATCCATCCATCCATCCATCCATCCATCCATCCATCCATCCATCCATCCATCCATCCATCCATCCATCCATCCGACCATCCGACCATCCGACCATCCGACCATCCGACCATCCGACCATCCGACCATCCGAAATGGCAGGATAGGATGAATTTGGATGTCAGATAAATATACACCTTACTCCCTGATGGAGACAGCATGAGGATTTATTTCAGCGATCAGAGAGCTCATACTGTTGGCTTTCAACTTGGTGGCTTTAGATCTGTTATCTATATCTAGTGAGCATCCATGCCAGGGCTGTAATTAAAGCAAGGTCTCTATTGGCAATTTGAGACGAAGCTTTTTAAAGAGCCCCTGCGTTTTCCCTCCTAGTCTTCCCAAAGGAAGCTAAACTTTATCTGAATCTGGCATCTAGACTACACTACACTGCTGAATAGACAAAGTACCACACTTCTCTCATCATTTCATATGTTCAATGGATCATTCAGCTGTAGTGTTTTCATTCATACATTTGTACAGTTTTGGCAGGAGACCAGTTTGCAGTTGCATCAGTGGTTCTGTGGCCATTTAGTGGCAATTGAAAAAAACTTTCATGCATTTTTTTTTTACACAAAGGCGTCCATTTATGTGATTGCCATGCAGCTGACAACAGATTAAAACGTACCAAACCAACTTTGAAGTGTGTTTCACACCAACATAGAGTAAAAACCAGATTCACTTTAAGAACATATATAAACAACTTTATAACAACTTGATTTTCTACACAAATGTGAACAAAAGAAATAAAACGAGAAGTGATTTGGATATAATACAATATTATACAATAGCTGGATTGAGCCATTGATGAGGAGTGGAATGTTTATTGGAAAGGAAAGGCCACATGCACCGATACTCTAAACTAGTGGTTCTCAACCTTTTTGGCTTTGTCTGAGACTATATTTGAAGGCTCTCCTATCTAAGTTAATATGTACCTCTGGTAATTCTGTTGTAAAAAAAAAAAAAAAAAAAAAAAAAAAAAAAAAAAAAGAAATAACTTTTAACATCTTTATTTATATATTTAATTATATATGTATTATATTTAATTACACTTATATTCATATAGCTAAATTTTAATCATTGTAAGACTTATTGAGACTGGGCAATGCAGTGGATTGGCCATGATGTCATATAAACCTAAAAAAAAAATGGAAATGTACACTATGTTGTAATAATTAGTAGTATATTAATAGTTAGTATATTTATTAATATGTAATTTATATTATTTATATACATTTATATTATATAGGCTATGTTTATTATGATCTAAAATGAAATGAGTCATAAGTTACAATGGACCACTTTCGGGGGAAACAAATTTTGACTGGTTTGAGTTTTATTCTAGAACTTGCAAGTTCAGTTCAGTTCATTACATTACCTAAAGGAAGTAATTCGGTGTCCATATCTGTTAGTTAGCTAGAAATCATAATGCTACATTTACTACATTCTAAATGCTATTTAGCTTAAACTGTTATTGCTTATTTAGTGTTCTGTTCAAAAGTATATTTATTAATATGCACTTCCTTAGGTAAAGTGTTTATGTACATTTAGATTATATATTTAATTTAAATAGATCAAACACCATTATTATTTATTTATATGAAATAATAATAACAGGTACAAAGAAATGTGACACAGTATGCATTAACCCATAAGTTAAAGGTGCCCTAGAATGTTTTTTTTTATTATTTTATAATGTTTCCTGGGTTACCCTTATAATGTTAGTATGTTTTTTAGATAAAAAATAATCATAATTTAGAAATAAATGGCATTTTTCCTAGCCTGCTTTTAGCCTCTGATTTGAACTCTCTGTTTGAAGGGGCGTGTCTGCTGTGGGATTCAGTGTAACCGCGGCCACTGCTGTGATTGGCTGACATGCTTGCATATGAAATAGCAACGCATTACATGTGAAACTCTCTCCCGAATACTTTTACTACTGCTATTATATGTTTTTACTATAACAGCTATCGAGATTAACGAATCGTGAGATGTTTTTAAAGTATTTAGATCTATTCCCATCACATAAAATGTTGCCGTGATGAGCATTGAGCAGATGACTGTGTGTTGATCGCGAGAATGAAGATCTAATCATTGCAAAGCAGTTTCTGCACTCTCTCTGCTTTCACCAATGCAAACACGATGATGTAAATACAGTAAGAGCTTCGTTGTGCAGTAACGTGCGTCATTGATTTCATAACGAGTTTGGCAAGTGTCCAGATAAACTCGCGCTGTGTGGAAAGATTGTTCTTTGATCGCTTTCTGTATATAATTTGTTCACAAATTAAATACGATTATTTTCATCCTACTAAAAGAAACGATGTGAAGCTGATATTTTAGTCACTGGCTTGACTTACTGATGCATAAACAGTATTGAACGATTTTGAGAGAAAGATTACCTGTCTGAACTTGAACAATTACTCATCAGAAAGTGTTGCTTGGTAGCTCGATCCGAGGCCAGCTCTGTATTGGCCCAAGTTGAGGAAACACTCGGTGAAATGTTTGGAAATTTCCAGAGAAAATAAAATTAACCCATTGTTTCTTCAGAGGCCCAGATGAAGGAACTAAAAAATACTTTTGTGTTCATGTGTACATCCACACTGAGCAACTGCCATGCGTCGGCTGCGCAGTTAAGCCTGGCATTGAGGGCTGGCATTATGCAAATATTTGGAGGCGTACATATTAATGATCCCGATTATTGCGTCACAGTCGGTATTGTGTGGAGAACCGACCGTTTTTCAGGGGTGTTTTTCATAAACGTGAATTAAATGAGAACGCGAAAACAGTCCAGTTTGAGATTCACTCTATGTCATGTCCATGAACTCTTGTTATTTGACTATACCAAGGTAAATTCAATTTTGAACTATAGGTCACCTTTAAAGTGTTTACTGTTTCAATGAAGTACATTGGTGGTAGTTGTTGGTTAAATAATGGCTGAATTGTAAAGAAACTGCTAAAAAATTGCTGAACCATTATGGTAAACTTATTGTAACATCTAAAAATACAAATGTGTGTGTGTGCATATATGTATGTATGTGTGCATGTGTTTGTTTGTTTGTTTATTTATTTATTGAGCTAAGTGCTGTGTGTAATAAGTGCAAGTTTGTAATAACTAGTCCTGGAGCTTTTCAGTAGCCTACTTCTGCTATCTGCAAAGCTGCTTTTAAAGTATGTTTTTAGTAAAGCAAATAGGTTGTAGAGGTTTAAGTGTTTTCAGTCATACTGCACTTGCTCTTCAAGTGTGGGAGTTTGCAGTAACTCCTTTGAGCAAACAGATGGTCTGATCTCTGACCTGAGCTAATCAGGCACAAATTTGGCATGTCAAAAACCTGTCTTCAAGTCCTCTGCCTCCAATGCTATTTACATACTCCCCAAGCCCAGATTTTCCCTTTTTGTCTTTAGTCCGCGTGACATCCAAGTTCATCCATCCTCTTTTAAGTTGAAACATTACGACATCACCCCCTCCCCTCAAAACGGTCTTGTTGAAATCAGATTAGATAACAAGATTAACCCCAGAGGTTTAGACCTGCCGCCTAGCAGTGCTAGTCACAAAAAAAAGAGAAAAGGAATGTGTTTTTGAGAGCAATTTTTTTTTACTTCAGGTTCTTACCGTTGCCTTATAATTTTGTGCTGACAATGCTCCGCTTGATTTGAGACATTTCAGGAATGTACATGTTAATACCTGTTGTAGCCACTGGAATTCAACAAGATGACAGTAGAAGAAGATGTACCAACCCATTTTTAGAAATGGGTGCAGCAGTGCTTAGCTAACAGTTTTCTGTGTTTTTCCTGTAAACAGCCTATTCGCTGCGGGGATGGTATAGGGATGAGGGAGATTAGCTTTCCATCAAGACGAAGTAGTGGGGAAGAAGAGAAGCCTAGGGTGGTTGCTTTTCTTTGTTAGGCTTTCTGCTGTTTGGCCTTTCCTGTTTGTTTTCCATATACTGCATTTGAACCCCTCTCAACAAACATCTTTTGGTTTCTCGCAGGTTGACGGCCTACAGTTCCAGCGATCCCAGGCTTGGGGAAATTATTAACCAGAAACCAAGCACAACAGGACCCTGGTAGGTTCTGTGGCCTTCCCTCTTGTTGATAGCTGAATATGCAGTATGATACACGCTCCATCAAAAAGAGACATGAGTTGCTATGGGCCACTTTTGACTGCTTTGGGTTTTGTTGTTTTTGATGAAACAAAATTCATTCCATTTACCTTCATATCTGTTACTTTGCTAAAACTCGTATGGAAGTTATATTGTTCACATATATATATTGTTAAATACATGCACAATATTATAAATAGGTTATATTTCTGAAAATGTTTAATGTACACTAACTTTCAAACGTTTTTTTTTTAAGGAAAGTAATACCTTAATTCAGCAAGGACAGTAAAGACAATTTATAATGTAAAAAAAAAATCAAACAAGCCTTTTTAACTTTTATATTAATCAAAATAGTGCAATTTTTGTATATATATATATAAAAAAAATATTCTCACTAAATCTGTATAATAAAATGATTTCTGAAGGATCAAGGGGTAATGGCTGCTGAAAATCTGTGCCATTACAGGAAACATCACATTAATCTCGAAATGTGCTTCTGGTTCAGAATGACACAAAATGTTTCATGTAGCAGATCGTGTCCCTGGGTAACATATAGTCTACTTCTGTGAGACTTCCTTGGCTCAACTTGGCTACCAAATAGGGTCAATGCGATGGCTTCGGGAAAAATGTATTCTTGTGAGTTAAAAAAAAAAAAAAAATGTATGAGGGTTGTGGGAGTGGAGGCCTGGTGTTCAAAAGCCTTGGTATAAATGGCATCTAGTCTAGCCATTCTTAAGAAGGAAATAGGAGACGCACATTCTCTGAATTCCAGCCTACTGTACATCTGGCTGAAAAATGTGCCCCTTCCCAGCAACAAGAGTTTATAATTCCTCCAAATGGAATCCAACACCCTTTGAGTCTACTTGCCAACTTTGATTTGTATTCATGTAGTGTATGTGATATGCATTTTTCAGCAGGTCATCCCAGACTGACAGATGTCCTGTGCTGGGTTCTCATGTTGAAAAATAATAGGAGAGTAAAAATAATAGAATAGGAGGTGTTTTCTACACCTGTTTGCAGCTAGATTGTCCTCTACTGAAGCTTAGCTGTGTCACAAATGAAAACAGAACTCCTCTTTCTCGCTCTGTCCACTGTCCCACAGGCAGCTGCTCTAGATGAAGCATAATTGCAGTGTAATCCTGGCACTAGTCCGAGGGCTTTAGAAAAAAAAATAAAAGTCGACTAGATAATACCAGCTGTTTGCTGTTGCACAGATGTTGGAGAGAGCACCGGAAAAAAAATACATCAGTTTCCACAAAATTGTTAAGCAGCACAACTATTTTCAACATTTATAATAATAATAAATGTTTCTTGAGCACCAAATCAGCATATTAGAATGATTTCTGAAGTATCATATGAAACTGAAGACTGGAGTAATGGCTGCCATCACAATCAGCTTTGCCATTACATTTTAAAATCTTAGGGATGCACCGATATGAAAATTTTGGCTGATACTGATAATTCTTTATATTTGAAAGCTGATAATCGGTATATTGGCTGATAAATCTAAATCCAAATTTTTCTATAATTATTATTATATAATACACAAAATAAAACGTTGCGCTTTTCTAAGCGTGTAAAGTGGATAACTATAATGTATGGCGGAATATACCAGCAGCAAGTGCTTGGGAGCACTTCGACTCGGCGCAGTAATATCATCACTCGTGAAAAGTGAGTCCCCCCTCTCCCTCGCCGGAGTGATGATATTGCTGCGCCGAGTCCATAGATATAAATGCGCCTAGTCGAAGTGCTCCCAAGCACTTGCTATGGTATTCCGCCATACATTATAGTTATCCACTTTACACGCTTAGAAAAGTGCAACGTTTTATTTTGTGTATTATATAATAATAATTATAGAAAAATTTGGATTTAGATTTATCAGCCAATATACCGATTATCAGCTTTCAAATATAAAGAATTATCAGTATCAGCCAAAATTTTCATATCGGTGCATCCCTAAGATTTTAAAATGTAATGGCAAAGCTGATTGTGATGGCAGCCATTACTCCAGTCTTCGGTTTCATATGATACTTCAGAAATCATTCTAATATGCTGATTTGGTGCTCAAGAAACATTTATTATTATTATAAATGTTGAAAATAGTTGTGCTGCTTAACAATTTTGTGGAAACTGATGTATTTTTTTCCGGTGCTCTCTCCAACATCTGTGCAACAGCAAACAGCTGGTATTATCTAGTCGACTTTTTTTTTTTTTTCTAAAGCCCTCGGACTAGTGCCAGGATTACACTGCAATTACACTGCACATACACTACTGCTCGCTACTGCTCGCTCGCTCTAGATTCCGAGAGATTTGAACTAATTTGCGGTCATCAGGGAGCCGCTATCAATCTGCGGGAGACTCCCGGAACTTCCGGGAGACTTGGGATGTCTGATATTTACACAACTAACACATCAAATCTGCCGCCTTTTCAAACAGTAACATATTTTCCGCTGTCGCAAACCTCAACTGTGCGCATGCGTCGGTGGAACCAGACGATAGGCTTAAATGTTTTCCGGCTTGACTGTTAAAAGCAGACGATTGGCTTTCCAGCGGGAGGGGCGGGGCATGTGCATACAACCGCCATCTTTGGCGTTACGGGTTTTCCCTATATAGTTGTATTAAGGATTGGGGAAGTGGCATGTCTCTATATAAATAGTCTCTGGCTAAAGTTAAGTCCTATCAAAGTGCACGCACTGAGACGAGAGAGGTATGTATCAACTCGTCTTAGTTAAGGGAATAACATAGTTTAATATGAAAAAACGGTGAAGTATCCCTTCAAAAAGACGTGAAAATTATAAACGTTAGTTACGATGCAATGCTGGCCTGATTTGTGCAAGTGAATATTCCGTCTTGTCCCGACTCCTAAACGCGAGAGCATAGTTTGGCCGCCTGCAGCGCTTGACGCTTGCCTTGTGCAGAGAGAGAAGACGCAGCACCGCGTCTGTGATGTTTGTGATATTCCGTCTCGGAGAACGTTTTAAAATGACTGATTTGATTTTAGAATCTGTGTGGATTAATTAACACATACAACCTACATGCTAAAGTGAATCAATGTTTGCGGGAATTTCCCGCATTATAAGTGTGGGAGACCTGCGGGAATGATTAAAATGATGCGTAATACCACGCCGAAATTAGAGCCCTGAATATGAAAAAAACCGTACATGGAGCGTCGGTTTGGGGTTAACCCAGAGCATGGTGGGATAATTTTATCAATGAAGTTGTGTTTACACCGGCACGCGCATGCCCAGTGTTGGTGAATGGTCACGTGATCCGCGTTTTCAGTCGTTTTAATGTGGACGGAGATCAATTCTAATACGCAGCTAAAACGCTGGTGTGGACGGAGATCGTATTCGTTTTAATTATCCGTTTCTAAACTAAAACGCAGTAGTGTGGATGGGGCCTTAGAAAAGCAGGGTAGCATACAGATGCAAAATTAATGAGTAGCCGTGAAGTTTCCAGAACTTTCCCTACATAAAAACTAGCTTAGGCCAGAATGATTTACCTTGTTGGTTTATGCTGTTTTGGTGTTAATAGTTTCCCAGAAGTGGTGACACTGGTTGATCAGGGAACTTGCTGGTTAAACTAGTTAGAAAAGTCTGTTTGGTGCATCAGTATCCAGAACATGACATGTTTCTGAACAGCTATGGTGGTGTTCTTTTTCTATTTTGTTAGAAATTCTGAAATTGGTGTTAGAAAGAAACCAGAGCCAAATGTGATATGCATTTTCTTTGGCGGACTCTCAATGAGTAAGAGGCCCTGTGCCTGTATTATAGGGCTTCACGCTTTGGGGTTAGAGGGGAATTGAGGGAGCTAGAGTTTACAGTATTTAAAAAAAAAAATTCAGTTACAGTCTAACGTTCTTAACAGCTCATAAATTGCACCTGCTGCGACGCCACCGAGGCCTGATGAACTTCAAGCACGCTAAAGGGGAAGTGAAGTAAGCAGTGAGATCTGTGTGGGATATTGCTTTTACGTGACTCTCCGTCTCTTTCCTTGAGCTGCCTCCTTTCCAAATTAGAGAGGTCTTAAGATTGGATAAAGATTTCACAAATTGCCTAGTTTGGACACAGTGAAAACAAAGTGGAGTGTCAGTAAATCCACAGTCCCTCTCTGAGATGACCAGAGGTCACAGAGTTCTGAGATGACATGACTTAAGGCTGTGTGTCCACCAAAGCAAGCGTTTTTATAGTTGTTATCAATGGGAGCGTCGTGTTTTTTTAAAACACCAGCAGCGTGACGATGCGCTGAACGTCTATGGCTAAAAACACTTTTACTACACACTTGTAGTAACTGAATTTTAACCCGATATCAGATTATCAAATTATAATTAATTGCATAATTTAGTAAAGAATCTTAATTACGTCAAAACACCAATATTTACACTCAGAAAAAATAGTACCACTATAGACTGGTTGCTTTGTTGAAACTACAGTGTAAAATGTGGTTATGCTTTTATCGTCGTCCTCAACACTGAAGTTTCTGATCCACCAGGATTTTGTTTTTCGTGCACTATATCTATACCATTCCTGTATGGGTCCTGGATCACTGGCTTGTTCAAGAACCCTTACTCTGTAGTGGCAGGCCAAACTTTTGTACCATCCCCCTATTGGTAAAATGTAAAAAAAATTACACGGCGTTCAGAAATAAAAGTACACTGCGTACTGTCCTGGGGCCCTCGTTTTTCGAAAGTATGCAGCAGTGCAGCGTAAACATGTGCAAGAGTGTTTCTGGCTTTTGACACAGATTTGTATGCTCAGACCTTCTACACACATCATTGATTTTTCTAACCTCTGCAATATGCCACTCCTGCATCAATGAATGGTTTCCTGGAAGACAAAAATGATCCATAGACCGTCTGTACAGAACACATAGACTGAATCTCACCCCCATACCCCGGTTTCTTTTGCTTTCCTTCACTGCAAAGCTGCTCAGGTTTTCCTACAGCCTGTTAATTTGGGACATTA